CGTCTTCATGTTTACATCGGGTAGGATCTTCTTCAGTAGAGTACGGCACGAATGGGGCAAACTAAGCCGGCAACGCTCTTTTTTGCTCTAAAATTATATTTTGCCGGTGCATTCATGAAACCCGATGACCATCTGGTCCATGGTCTTCTCACTGTCACCTTTACCACCTAGGAAAAGAATAATGCATTCGGTGTTCATCGCATTCGTTGGATGTCTGATGAACTGAGCATTCGAGTTCATCAGGGATCCAACAGATTATTGAATGATAATCTGCTTTGTACAATGATTCACGATGGTTTCCCGAATCAGCAGGTTAGTATTTTTGTTCCTTGACAAGTCTTATACCGATTTGTGAATCCCAATAAGATGGGAGTTTCTATTATTCCAGTACGCAAGATCGAACCAAAGACTAAATGTGTAAGGTAAGGCGCCTCTAATCATTGCGCTACATGTGCCATTTAAACCAGGATTGTTCGCTCACACCTTTTGTCTACCGGTTAACGTTCACACATGTCGCATTTCCGAACCATCTGATCTTCAACGTCTTGACGTATGCGGCAGCGTTTCAAAGCTTTCATCATCGACGTGTATGGGAACTTCTGTTTGCATGTTTAAATTGAGTGATGTGGGAAATTCTTAGTATCATCCACCAGGTAACTCTGATTCATCATTCATTCACTTGCGTAGCATCAAGTTCTCAAGGTGCACATATACTAATAATGGCAGATTCATAAAGTTGGGCAGTGAGCCAATTGTTCTTCGTTCTCTTCACTACATTTCCATTCCTCTTGTAAGCTTCCCAACTCTCCTGATCGTTCCTCATCAGCAACTAAGCGAAGTTATGCTTTATGTTGACTTTCTATTTTCCCACAAACGCTGAGAAATCGGCCAGCATTGGTTCGGCATGGCTGATGCTTAACGTTTTAAGACCACTGATATGAGCAGAGCAAGGCAAACAGAGTATAATTGCTGGCCATCAACTTTCACCCATATGTTATCGCTTTCCCTTTGCGCATGAAACTCTCAAAAGTGCCGCCAACTCTTTTCATGATGGATGACGAAGTCGTGATGGTTGGTGAAATTCTATTTATAAACTGTTGTATTTCCGAGCGCACTCCTCCAGTCCACGTAGCAACGCCTTAGCACGGTTATCTTCAAGGCTGCAAGCAGAATCGACTCGACGAGCACTTTACGACATTAAAAGAAGTTCATAAGGAAGACGAATTTCTTATGCCATAGCCGAAACAACACAGGAAATATAACTTCTATAATGTTGAGATATTTGCAAAACTCCGGACCGCAGGTGTCTGCGGGTCCCTCGTTCCACCGGTCTCTCAGATAGTTCTATCCTCATGGTGTGATGGTGAACGCGTTACTCCCCGGAAAGGACAATAACGCGTTCGTTCCCCACTGCAGACACCTGCGGTTCGGAGTTTTGCAAATATCTCAGCATCATTGAAGTTATATTTCGCAATATAACTTCTTGCCATTAGAAAGAATAGGCAGTAAGTAATGAGTTAAAACACAGGAAATATTCGAAAACCTTTGTGGACGATGGAAGCGAGGAAAAGTATCGAATACGAGAAGTGCAGGGATCCGCGCCGTAGATGTGCTGATGGTTCGTTTGAAATGTTGAGTGTGGAAACGAAAAAAAAACTGTCGCATTATCATTTCCGAAGTTTTGCGCGCATGCTTTGATCTTCGTCCAGTACTGCGTCAGCCCTATGAAAATGATTCGATTAAACAGTTTGTAAGTAACAGACAATTACGCGATAGTTCACGTTGTTACTGAGATCCTTTTATGAAACAACACCGTTTTGCTACTATTCAGTCATATGCCCTCATGTAACTTATCAATGAAGAATAAAAAGGATAAAGCTCTCGGCGTTGATCAATCCCTGAGGGATGCGCCATACATTCGATTTTATTAAGCATCGTTTGGAGGTGGTTGAATGCATATCTGGTCTTTACAATGACTAGCGGTGGCCTATCGACGTAGCGAGCCAGTGGTGCTATCCTCCCAGCAAGTCTGGTATTAATTTGCCTATCCCGAAAAGATGGAAGGCTTGGTGGGCCGGGGGCGCCGGAATCGAACTCAGGTGTACTGCAGGGTGCCTCCGACCACTGCGCCTATTTAACTTTTATCAGTAGCAGAATCAATGCATTGATTAGAACTGGCTGTAGGTCCGCCAGATGTTAGGGTTCAGTGTTTCTTGGGCCGGTTGCTGTCTGGTTTCTCAACAACAAAAAGCATTTTCGATTTCATAAAAGAGAACGCTCAGAGTCAGACGTGATCTTTCTTCCTAGGTACTGAAAAACGAATTTTTCATTATCTAATTGGCGATGATCTGTTGACTCTAATCCAACCTGTGCAGGCTCCAGCCAATACTATTGCTCTTTTTCTGGATTCGTTCCCTTTTATCTCTACTCTGCAGATACGTACAGTCCCCGTTGCATGCTGCTGATGGACTGCACATTTGCATGGAAGTTGCAAAGCTTCTGGTGAAGGACTTCTCCTGTTGTCTTAAAAACGCTCATCTTTCTTGTCACCATCTTCAAGATGTTGATTAACTCGTATGGTCCATGTTGTGGACAATGATATCTTTCTAAAATCGAATAAAAAATCTGAACAGACTTTAATCTGATATGATTTTGAGATTTTATTTTCCTGATTTTTGAGGCTTTCTTTCCTTCTAGCGAAGAAAAAGAGTTTCGCAAGGAATGGTTGATGACCCAAATCCATGTAAAACTTTGGGAAACAGCAACACCGGTTAAGATAAACTTTCGACTTAATACTTTTCGATTGGGTCACAAATTGCCAACTGTAACCATCCGATTTCGGTGGTGCTCGAATGAATGACGAAGCTCACGCTTACACTAGAACTGCCAAGTTCTTTACACCACCGCATACTTCAAAGGGTTCTTCTCCGATGTCATAAACGGCGTTTTACAGAAAAAGACGGACGTATTTTAGAAGAAAAGAAAGAAACGTCTTAATTTTCTACAAAAATCCCTACTAAGATGAATTCCACAAGTGGATTTTGCCACAAGTCTTTTTATGGAAGAAGGTTATATGAAGTGTATGGAATTTTGTCAGCAGATTACTATGGGCAATTAACCTTGAAGAGAATGAAAAGTATACTGGGCAACTAAGCTGATCTGTCTTCACTTTGTACGGTTTTATTAACCATAGTCATTGGTTTAAAGCTGCAACTGCTTTTCATCTGAAGGTCCAGTAGTCTCTTTCCACAAGCATTCTTTTTTCCTCAGATGGACACTTGTTGGGGAACTTAGAGGTCATCAATGTCACTAATTTTTCATACTCATTTTATATATTTGTCAATTATTTGAGGAATTTTAAGACAAGAACTTTGTGATTATATTCTTGCGTATTCGCTTTAATATAGAACCGTCACCACCTCCTGTTATGATATAGAATTGATTACGAGAAACCGACGTTCTCCATACTAGGCTCCGAAATCTAAGCTGGAGACAAACTAATCGGATTTTCTTCTGGCAGGTCTTGACTAGATGAAAACCATCAGAAAAGTACAGATGAAAGACCAGACAACATCACATACCACTTTTTCGAGTTAATAGCTACTATCGAGATGAACTTATGCCAACATAACTTCAGGAAATGATCTGAGAACAGTGCTGCCATTGCACGTATCATGGATAGAAAAGATGACCAGAAAGGTTTTATCAATTACTACCATATTTCCTTGTTTAGTGTGATCTACAGCCTTTTCGTGACAGTTGTCCATCCGTGTGCATCAACAACTTTGAACAAAGATCAAGAAGGTTTTTTTTCATATGACCCATGTTCACATCTACTGTGTGAATCCTAACACTACTTCTTTTTTATTTATTTCCTTGCATCCATTATCTACGAAATTTTTTGAACTTTTTGCGTGTGAGTTCGGCTGCCTCCCAGTGACTTACAACCTCATCGTGGCTGGAGGGTTTTCCTGAGTGTCGAGCTGCGGTTTCCAGTGGGAGCTCACCCACCAGTATGGCCTCCCAGACGGAGAAGCAGTCCGACGTTTCCATCCGGAAGCCCAGCTAAGAGTAAATCAATACAGGAATCACCACCTTCTTGGTATCGAACAAGTCGCATAATGGCAATTCTCCCTTTGATGGACAAGGGCGGCGACTGACTATGGTGATGACGACGACCTTTGGAAAGCTTCAGCTAAACTGACCTCAGGACTTCAGGAAACCACATTGGCTTAACCAGCAGCTCTCCGGAGAATGGAAACTATGCTGGAGTTTTTACAACCAGTGAAGACTGGCCATCCAAGTAACTAAGGGTTCCGTTACTTCTTGGAAATCCTTTTCTTCCTTATGAATGTTGTTGAATGTTGGTAGATTCGATTCTTCCGGGAGTCCTGGGATAGCAGTGCTACATCGTTCCTGCTTGGACTTAATGGAGTGAGTTCGTGCTTAGACAAGTCTGATACCGGTTTCTCCGCCCTGGAGAGATGAGAAGTTTGGTGAGCGCGGAGCGGGATCGAACCAGCACTGTGCTCGATATGAACGACATCACTACTATTGCCAACTAAGTTGCAAGGAATATTTACAGCAACACTGTTAGGAAGTAATATTTGCGGCAACTCTGTTAACAAAGAATATTTACAGCAGCTACGCTAGCAAGGTGTATTTTGCAGAACAATCTGCTGTATTCGAGTTCATCGAATTCCTTCGAAAATGCCACCTTCCCTTCGTCTGATCTCCTGTCAATTGCGTAAGTGCTTTCGGCGGGTTCTTTGAGTGCCGTTCCATCTCGCATAAGAACTTTAGAAGATTTCTGTCTCAACTGCACTTTCCCCATAAGCTATACTGAAGTGGATAGTGAACCGTTCGATTTCGACGAAATGAGAGCATATAAATTTTCTTTGGACCTCAATGAACTGAAGAAAAGCGTAATAGTGCGATTAGACCGGAGGAAAATTGGCTCTTAAAAGAGGTTGTGCGGCAGCTGCTGAAAGAATAGTAGATTGGTTCGTGGCTCACTTCAGTCTGTTGTATTCGCAGCTGAAGACAAGCTATGCACTACAAAATATTATCAACAGGCATCAACATGGTCGACCGAAACCACTACCATCTATTAGGAAAGCGAGATAAAGTGGTGCATCCCCAGGACTCATGAAGGCGGGTCAAACAATTCGCTGTTATAACTAAAGTTGCTAACGTTTTTACACAAAGTTTTTTTTAGAGAATGAGAACAGCTTGTGAAGCCATTCTGTCTGTAACTTAAATTTAGGACTGCTCTTTAACTGCTTAATTGTGAAAATATTAACATCTGAACATTTATGATTTAGCGAGTTTTCTAGAGAAAAAGCCAGTCTCTGTGCAATCCAGTAGATAGTGTAAGAAACTCATTTTGGGACATGTGACAAGGAATACTGTGTATTTGGAGATTGTCTGATCAACCGAAAAACCTTTTCAGGGATATTATACCGTGCACCTTTCGGTTACTTCTGATCATGGCGACGTGATCACCGTTGGACGTCGAACGTACGATGCTCGAACTTTGTGGATAGCGATCATTGGCGACTCTTTCGCTTCCGGCGAAGGTAATCCTGATGTGCCAAGGCATGGGGAGAAAGAAGCACAGTGGATTGACGGTATGCATCGATCTAACAGAATATTCGTCAGATCCCTAATTGTTTCGGAGTACATATATGTCGTTGATGGTAGAATACCATATTACAAACGCCTTCATGAATTCTTTTACTTTGTAGCCTCTAAAAGTTTAAAACTGCATCAGCTATCGAGCGCTGTTCAATATGCTCTTCTGAAGTATTTTTAAGCATATACATATTACATATGTTAGTCATCACTCTTTTACCTTCTCGTTTTCCCAGAATCGCATCTCTAGAAGACAAAATAGCCGTCTATTAGGACGACTTGCTGACTCGACTCGAAACCATATCATTCTTCTTTATCTAGAGATTCCATGCGTCTAAGTTCCTAACAGCGCATTGATTTGTTTCAGATCGATGTCATCGTTCATCAAAGTCATTCGCCTCGACTGTGTTCGCAGAAATAGCAGCTGTAACCCCAACGTATCTTACGTTTCTGGCATGCACCGGAGCGACAATCGAAAACGGAATTCTGGAGGCTAGCGAGCATGCTAGTCAGCTGGATACGTTGGAGAGTATCGCCACTAAGAGGTAAGCGAACTTATGTACCGCCCATGCGCATTCGAGTTTTGAATTTGGGGCACGCCTAATATTACGCTTGCACCTACTATTCGTATCTAATCATATTCTCGGAACTGACTAAATCCGGCTTTATTTCCATCTTTGTTTATATTGTTGAGCTTACACGAGATTGTTAGAGATGTTTATTCGGCGAACACTTTGACGTCTTCGTCTTCGTCAGAGCCGGCGGTCCTTGTCGGTGATCCACAGTTCTTCCCCTTCTCGATGTGGCGTCATCGTCTCGCATCGAACCGGATCTTCCTCAGTTGAGCATCTCGAGTGAGCCGAACACACCCTCGACGCTCTTTTATACAGGGCGGTTGTTAATGATGCCATTATCAGTTGATGATAATCTGTTTTCAGCCGATAACCCACCTGAACAATCGGTATTTTGTTAACTAGTACATAGCGATTAACAAAACAATACTTTTGAGAGACCTTTCTAACCATCTCTAACAACCTCGTGTAAGCTCAATAATATGAACAAACACATGTTGATTACTTCATTACCGAGGTTTAATGACGGTCGGTTTCAAAAGTATGTTTTATTTCTACCATTGTTTCAGAACTTCTGTGAGCAGAAAGTGCTTACAAATGTCACTGGTTAGGGTACAGAAGGTTTGGCAGCGAACACCTGCTTTAGCTCCATGTGTTTTCTCATCATTATAAATTACTCGGAGCGCGCGTAACAGACTAGTACTTGTTCTAATACACTTTGCAACACGCACGAGGCCTTATTTCAACCTGATAATAGTTCGAGGAAGCTATCCATCTATGCAGCGTCGGCGAATTGATGTCGGACTTATTTCGGATCACCTCACCCCGCCTACCTACAGGAGATGGCGCCGCCCATGATAAAGCGTCTTACCACGGCTATCCAATGATTCCAGAGAGAATTGATTCAACCGGCAATCAGTATCATACATAAAGAAAACCAAAAATTCTTAGGCTGTAGTTGAACTCACATATAAATCTGAAGACCTCTATGCATAATGGGTGCGAGGTAACTAATCGAATGCAAGAAGTGCTGGGATCCCCACAATATTTCATGTGGTGCCATGTGGAAAACGAACTACTTATTATAGGAGTAAGTTAAAAAGATGAAAACAGCAGAAAAAGTTTACGTTCGCATTATTGTGCATCTAAGTGGTGGAAGGAACTACATTAGAAGTAATACACCCCAAGCATAAAGGATAAAAAGAATAAAGCCCTCTGCGTTGATCAATCCCTGAGGGATGCGCCATGCATTCGACTTCATTAAGCACCGTTTTGAGGTAATTGAATGTATATCTGGCCTTTACAATGACTCTCGGTGGCCTACCGATGTATAGCCAGTGCTGCTATCCTCCCGGACAAGTATGGTACCAATTTCCCGACCCCGGAGTGATAGAAGGCTTGGTGAGCCATGGGCGCGGGGATCGATTCCATGCATGTGTTACATGGCGCCTCCAACCACTGTGCCATTTGCCCCATATCCCGAGAATAGTGGTGAAAAAATGAAGCAATGAATGCTAAATGAGCTGTAACGTTAACCTTTAAAACTTTTCTGTCAATATATACTCTTTCAATGATAAGCTGACACGAGCTGATAAAAAAGACTTACTCGGTCAACGTTTCAACATCTTCGTCTTCATCGGAGCCGGCGGTCTGAGTAGATGCTTCATAAGCGTTCGTACCCTCTATTTGATGCCGTCGTCGCCATATCGAGTCGAATGTTATTCGAGTAGACTACGAATACGAACGGCTTTCTTGAGCTTCCCAATTTTTATTGCTTCTCGCGTGTGTTCATTAAGAGAAAAGTGAATCACTGACCAATGGCCTTGGTTTGAAAGAGGCTGTCCTGGGGTTTGCTATGTGAAGTATTAGAAAAATATCGCCGACTTGTCAAAGAAGCCCTCTCAGTAAGACAGAAAATTTTCCTAACTGGACAAGCGACATATTTTCCCTAGCGCTGCTTAAAACATCGAGGTGTCCCAAATTTCATTAAACGAAAACGACAACGCAAATTATGCGGCCTGCCAGGGCAGAGCCACCGTGTACTGCACATCGAAATGCAACTACTACGCATCTCACTATTACGTAAACGAGACAAAACGTTCACCACACTGAAGGAGTGTGAGTCGCAGGACCTTTTGGAAGAGTACAGTGGGTTCCGAAGAAATCGGAACTGAAACGTCAGCTATCGTGAATGAGTGAACGCTGTAATAACAATATTGTGATTGCTCGTCAAGAAAATGGTGAATTATTCTCTCTCAGTTGTAAAGAGGACCGAATATACTGCGACATGCAGGGCTTCGTTTTTCCAGTTCTCAAGCGCTGATAGGTAATCTATGGTGGACTTTGCCTCGTAAGAAATTTGCTGCCATCCAGCTGGTTAACACCGGTCCCAGAATTTGTAGATATTGATCCATTTTGTCAAATTTCTAACAGTACTTCTTTCTGTAATGCTTTTTTCTGGATTCATGACGCCATAATGGACGACTGTATGAAGACGATGAAGAGGTCATCATAGTCTTTCGTTTTTTCTTCACATCTGCCTTAGGAAAGTCCTTCGGTGTTCTCAGTTGTCGTCGATTCCTACCTCTATTTTACAATAGATTCAAGAAGCGAGTTTTTGCACAAAAGAAGAGTTCTACATAGCTGTTCTGTGTCAAAAAATATGTGCTCATTAATTTTCTTCCATACACTTACGTCTTTCAGAACAATTAATGTCTATTAATATGTTTATTCCTCTCAACCGTTTAACGCGTCGTCGTGGCTAGGAGGTTTTCCTGGATGTAAGGCTGCGATGTACAGCGAGGGTGTTCATTCCTGTTGCACGGAGTCAAGGAGTCCGGCACTTCCATCAGGAAGCCTAGCAAAGAGTTAACCAATACCGCGATCCACCACCGCCCTTGTATCAAAGTCGCATGTTGGCAAATCTCCCTCTGATCCACAAGGGCCGCGAGTGCCTGTGGTAGTGACGATTTGGGGCAAACTTTGGCCAGGCCGTCCTCGGCACTCCAGGGAACCACGATGGCTAAACCAGCAATTCTCCGGAGAATGGAAATTATCCTGGGGCCCGCACAACCAGTGAAAACGGGCCCTTCAATATCCAATTATGTCTTTATTATATTATTATGTTTTTTCACCATAATCTTTCACCGATATTTTGAACGTGGTGCTCAATATTTATTTCACTATCTGCAGCTTAAAGACGAGTTGTAATACCGTATATACATATATGTCTTCCATATAATTAACGGTCTTTACGTACAACGTGCAATTCTTACCTACAACCAACAATCTTTGCATGGAATTTCGTTCCGAAGGTGTGCACTTTGTTTGACCAATATTAAACAATAATATCTTCTAAAATGGTTGTATTTACTGCCAGCCTGTCTACCGCGAGCAGAAGTGCATTTCCACTGGCAGGTGGGTCGTAAAACAAATGTTTGTCGTGTGCAGGGAAACTCACAATTCTAATAGAAAACTTGAAACATAGTCGGTTTCTGAAATAACTAGCCCTAAAGGCCCCAAGAAACTGGAAACGAAGTTCACTTCTAATTGAAATTTTACTATGGTGAACAAATCTGTCCTAATCGAACATCTCTGACCGCCCCTACACCGTCTCGTTTACAATAAGAAACTGCCGCAACCCTTCTCTCTGAAGCATTGCGCCAGGAAATCTGCATGCATATGCGTGAGAGCTGCATCCCAGTAGTAGTGTTCTGTCACTGTCTTGTGATCTTGACACCTCTTCTCCGCGTTCTGTGACCTTTAGTGCCGCATTCTTCAACGAGTACGAAAGTCGACCGTGTGGAAGCACTGTCATTTCAATGCAATGCAATTAGACGTCCAACTTGAAGTTATTCCGCAACGTTTTCCACATGTGCTCATCACGGAGTGTCCATGCGTCTACCACACATCTGAATGATAAGCTGGAAATGGAGACGTGCATATCTAAACTATGGATAAAAAAGTGCATAAGCCATGAAAAGCAGAACTGAACGTACTACTCACTACTTCTCCTGAAATGTGGACAGCAGGCTGACATTTCCTTGCCTGTGTCCTGAAACCCGCCGCATGGATGAGTTGAAGGAAAAGTCGCGCCGTGTTCTGTGAACACACTAACCATGTCCATGTTATCCCTTCATTTTGACACCACTTTACTGCTCCGATTCCGTTTTCCTGTCCGTTGCTCTCTCTTCACCTGCAAATATCTCAGTGACGGATAGATGAAATCTATTAATTCTAAAAATTCTTCAAAACGTACACAATGAACAAGTCAACGTCGAAGACAACGAATCGTCGATTGATCCTGTTTTAGTGCAGATCTACGTAGCCGTGGAAACTGCCTCTACGACAGCTCCACCTTGTCGTGCTACTTCTGCTGCTGCCTTCGATTTACCAGTTGCCAAAGAGAGGGCGCAGCCCATGCATTCATGAGTGTGCTGAGATTCCACGCTGCAGAGAAACTATGCAGTACTTTCGGTGACTGCGAGAACGTGCGCCACTGTGGTCATCTACACTTCCTTCCTCTTCCTCCAATTTGTTTTGTCGGACTCTTCGATAGAAAGGAGAGGAGGCTTCACGTTACTCTCGACAAGCACTATTTATTCATTGCCATTCTTTGTGAGAAGTTGATCAACACCGAAGTGGAAGTGGTCGTGATCTGACGTTTCTGAAGCGCACAATATTCAATCCTTTATCAGTTAAATTGATCCAGAATAAACAACGGGATTTGTTATAATCAGAGAAATCAGTTAGATCAAGATATTTGTAAGTTAGTAAGGTCGAGGGGAAACAAAAAGAAACCGACGGAAGAAGTGCGGAATAAACATAGCCTTAGAAAAACTATGCACTTTACACAGGGTTCAGGCGGGAACTTCTAGAATTTCCGTCGAGGGTTAAGCGACTCTGGTTTCGCTGCTGCCAACTTAGCGAATCCGGCCCATTTATTGAAGCCGCCGGATTTTGAACCTATTAATCGATCTTCACTTTCATATTAGTAGGAGTCCGACTGCGATAAAAACTGGAGTTTCTCAGAGATTTTGAGATTTAAATGATTTTAAAATGTAGAGGAGGTTTAAAATAATTATAATATTCTTCTATGCGACAGTGCAAAGTCACTTCTGGAGAAGTGACATGTTCTCAAACGAATAATCAGCACCGTTCACTATTTGCAGTGCCTCAGCTCGACCATCAAATGAGGCATCCCATGTGGCAGCCGATCTAATACGAGCTTCTGAGTAGTGTGTTGAGATTGAAACTCGAACTTGAAAACGAAAACTACTTAATAACTCAAAATCTCAATGGAGAAGCCAATATGCATAGTATAAAGAAAGAGGAGCAACTGGCTATCAGAGAGGAGTTTTTGAAATAGATTGAAGAAGCAGTGTGAGGGGCAAGTGACATATGGAAACGCACCTACTGCTCACCGAGGATGAATGCTGGCAGAATGGTAAAGCACCGAAGAGAAGAGAGCGGTAGGAATGGCTCCGACATTGAGAGGCATTCATTATATACCGTTTTGAAATGGATACCACGCATTCAGAGGGTGATAAGTTTGACACGTTGCGAGCTTGATTAGACAAGTGAGAAGAACACTATAATCAACACAGAAATTCGGCATGCACTATGGAGAGATATAGAATGTTCTCATTGAGAGAGAATACTCTGTCCATAGCTAATTTTTTTTCCGCCAGACGTATTGAAGAAAATGTGGTTCTCTCAGGGATTAACCCTACCTTCTAATCTGATCCGAGTGGCTTTTGTTTCGTAGCGCTTGCTTTTTTATTTGGAAACAAAGCGGTTTCTTCGAACACTCACCGCTTTCTCTGAGTCTTCCACTGAGTGTTCCACGTGGACACCAATCACACAGAGTTTACATGGAAGCTCAATTTGCCTCTCACATTGAAATATCAGTCTTAAATGCGGCGTGAGATCACGTGTGAAAAGCCTGAAGGGGACGAAAAGCGAAATGCGCCCAAACGTCAGCTTCTGTGAATAGAAAGCGTAGTAGCAACTTTATGTATGCTCATCAAGAGTATAGTGAAAGATGAAACAAATAAAAGTGCTTTCGTCCGTCCGAGGTTCTGGATAAGGCTGCCGACAAAGTGTATATTGCAGGGAACCTTTAACCACTGCGCTACAGGCGCTCCCTGTGACGTCCTTTTACTATCATAGAATTTATTCCAGGTGTTTATTATCTTTAAACAAGTTAACTTGCTTTTTTATCTGCACGCTGGTCACCTTTAAGTCGAGCGAAATATTTCTTTGAAGAGGTCGTGGGCCAGACTTAGTGATTCTGACAGCCGGCGGTAACGATATCGGCTTCTCAGACATCATCAACGCGCTCGTGCTCGACAGTGCCAGATTCGACGTCAGTTTGATAGATATGAGGCAAGTACTAATGAAATTGAAATGTCTTCGTTTTAGTAAGAACGTTGGTAATTGCTTCAAACATTTGCCATTATATGTGACGCTAGGGAGTTGTACTCTCGTTTCCGGTCGACTAACCAATGATTAGGAACTTTTTTATCCTTCACTCATCAGCAAACCATTGATTGATTCTAAAGACATGATCAATACGTGGAACGTACATCCCTTCTAAGCTTTTGGCTGATTAACTTGCCATTACTCTTCTTTATCTCGTGGAACGTTCTTTTTTCATTTCATCTTTAGGTGAGCCATCATTAGCGAACAAGTCCGCACTATTCGTTGTAGACGAATTTTCGGTTTTCAAGGAAAAGATGCTTTCCCAGAAGTTTTCAAGAATGCATCGTTAAGTCGATGTTCTTCTTCAATAAACAGACACGAGGTTGTTATTGTAGAATTTATTAGGATACAATAGCTAACGCTTCGGCGCTTTCGCCTTCTTCAGAGCCTGGAAAGGTCAAATTGAGATGCGATCTACTCAGCCAAACACTTTCATGACCCCAGCAGATAAAACCTAACAAATAAATTTGTATTCGCATAAGAAACAGCTTCATTTAAACACCTACCGTTTACTTGTTGTAAGTATTTAAGTTAGTTGGTGGATAGCAAGAGGACTGTGCCTCGTACTATCCACCAACTAACTTCAGTAAAATAACACCTCGCGTTTGCTCAGCAAAAATACGAAGAGTACATAAAATTCACCCATGAGAAACCGAAAGAAAACTGGCTTCCATTTCTAAATGTTCAAATCAACCTATCCAAAAACGGCTACACCACAAAATGGTATCGAAAGCCAAGCAGTAAGATTATAGTGGTTCATTACTCTCTCCTCATCCCTCACACACTAAAAGGGCGCTTATAAGAAATACGTTTCGAACCGCCACCAGCGTGTGCACAAGGAAAAATCCTCGGAACTGGCGCGCCAAATAATCATGTCAAATGGTTACGAAACTGTAGCTTCTCGGCCTAGGTATAGAGGGAAAATCACGCCTCAGAGCGATAATTCTAGCGAAAACAAGGCTCCGTTCCTGTTGCCCTTTATTTCAAACGAAATAAGTGCAGCTATAAAACGTTACTTAGTAAGAGAAGGTCTAGAGATTTCCGTAAGAGTGATAGAAATACCATCGGACACTCTAAGACGCCAGCTAGTTCGCAACCGCCTGTATGACCGTCTATGTTTAACGAAAAACTGCATAATTTGCCCTAACGGTAGAGACGGTGATTGCATGAGTTCGGGTACAGTCTATCTGATCTCTTGTAAAGTGTGGGTGGACAAACACGTTAGCGAAACCAGTAGACCTCTCTGCGGCCGCGTAAAAGAGCACCTAATCGGTAAACCTAAATTAAAATCAAACACTTCCACTAGGCGCGCATAGGATGCAGGAACAGAACGGAGAAGATTTTGAAGTAGGAGTCACTATCCTCACACACGAATCGAAAACATCAACACGTAAAACTCTCGAAGCATCTTGGATCAATTCCAAAAATTCAAAAATGAACTGCAAGGAGGAGTGTCTTTTCAACACGCGCGACCTGGCGCCATATCTCAGGCTAATCCAATGACCTGACACAGACACAGTGCTCGCCCATGTATTACTCTGTGCGGCTGCTATCCACCAACTAAAATACTTACAACAAATAAACGATAGGTGCTTAAATGAAGCTGTTTCTTATGCGAATACAAATTTACTTGTTAAACTTTATATGCTAGGGTTATGAAAGTGTTTGGCTGAGTAGATCTCATCTCAAGTTGACCTTCCCAGACTCTGAAGAAGGCGAACCCGCTGAAACGTCAGCTGTTGTACCCTAATAAATTCTACAATAACAACCTCGTGCCTGCTTATTGAAGACAAACATCGAATTATCAATCAATGCCGAGGTTAACAGAAAGTCGGTCTCGGGAAATGCATCGTTAAGGTTCTTCTTTGTTTCTCATCAACTCGATCTGGTTGCGAAACGATTGGCTGCACTTGGGACAAAGAACGTTTTCGTGCCACAGTACTTCGACTTCACAAAGAATCAGCACGGCGAGGTGGACGCGAACTGCATTGCATCAAAAGAGGTATGTCGAAGTCTTTATAGAGAACTGGTCTTCAGGACATCGCTTGTTGTTCGTTGTCGAGGTTGTGTTCATACCCGGAAAAAACCTCGACACAATTTCTTTAACAGACTTTATGGAGAATCTGACAACAAATCACCGTTAAAATGTTGTTGTGCAGAAGAGAGACTTGTGTGTGGGTAGAATTTCATGGTAGATGCAAGAATGGGGTATAAAGGTATTCTCGTTAATCTATCCGTGAGAGATTCATTCATGCATTCGACTTCATCAAGCATCGCTAGATCTATTGTTCAAAAAATTTCGTACGCTATCCATTTTTCAAGAATAAGGGCGGTTCTCAAAGAATGGTGTCGTACACCGTCCATCACTGCAGTTTGTAAACTTTGCATTTATTCTCGTAAGCTTTTCTTCACATCTTGTCGGAAAAAAGTTTATCCAAGGTACGAAGTACACAACAGCAACAGACGAGTCGAGCTACTTCTGTTCCGATAGAATAAAATGTATTACAAAATTTGATTGCCAATTTAATAGTCGAAGACTCATTGATGCTTCTGTCTCGATGAAGAGATCGCCGATGGTCGTGAGGCGAAGCGATTGAGTCTGTTGTGAAAAGTTTCAACAATGACGACTGTGTTTAACGTTTTGTTTTCTGCCTTCTATAATTTTCATGGCAGGTTACTAAGCGAAATACAACCACAACGTTGCTGAGATATTTGCAAAACTCTGGACCGCAGGTGTCTATGGTGGGGAACGAACGCGCTATTATC